CTTCTGTGAAGTGGAAGTGGGGTGACTATGAAAGGGGAGATGGGAAAGGAGAACCAGCACAACACGATGCTCCCGCAGCAGGGGAATTATCACAGACCATTTTTTGGAAAGAGAACATATAAAAGGTGAGGACCTGGACAGCTATTCCTTGGAAACCATGTGTGCTCATGGACCTGTTTAAAGTCATTGAACCATCTTCACTAATCGTCATTATGTGAAAGAAACAAACAAAGGAAAACCAAGAGAAAAAATTAAAGCATATACAACAAAGATTACTATTTGTGGATATATACACATTTAGTAAAAGTATAAAAACATGCATTATATAAAACGAGTTCAAGGAATGTGATTACAATAAAAAACCACTGAATTGTATGTTTAAGTGGATGAATTGTATGGTGTATGAATAAAAAAAAAGCTGTTATTAGAAAAAAGCTATGAGTAGAACTCTAATTATATGCTTACTAAAATATTTACAGGAAATGTATAAATATCTGCAACTTACAATAAAACATACCCTCAAAAATGTAAAAAGGTGGATTGATGATGATTAGAGGAGTGATATACGGATACATACACGATAAAGGAAACTCAATAAAATCATGATGATAAAATCCACGTGGCAAGCAGGCAGGAACTCAAATGTATAGTTCTTTAAACCTTGCTATATGTTTGAAATTTTTCATAATAAAATCATGGGAGGTGGGAAAGCTTGTAATAATGAGATCAGTAGGGTGAGCAGAAACAAATCTTTTCAACGTAATTACTCTTCTGTGTCATAGTAAATTAAAAGTGAATAAAAAGATCGAAAGTAGAAAGACACCATTCACAATGGCAAAAAAATTAAAAATCATGGTGGAGATGAGGGACAGGGAACCACACCCTTATGTAAATGCAGAATCATAACCTGTTCTCAGAAGTGATAAATGAATATTTAAGCATTTAAATTCTATCTAAATGAATGCACATATTGAGTGATTCCAGTCATTAATGGAACAGTTTTTTCTCTTGGTATCTGTAGAAATTCTTAAAAAACAACACTTACAGGAAAAAAATTTATGATATATTTATTAGTAATGTTTATGATAGGAAATTAAATGATGAGGCAAATTATACTAAAATTTCGGCAGTTTATTGGAATTGTGAAAATCAAGCATAGAAAAATGAAGACTAAAAGGAACTATATGGAAAACTTAACAAACGTTATCGTTGGAGAACAGAATTGGGGTAATAGAGATGTTATTTTACTTGTGCTAGAAAAACTCTGAAAGGAAATATTTGCAAGTGTGTGTATGCACACACGCAGTAAACTTGCAGGAAGGGCAAAATCCTCATCTTTAGTAGAAACCTTACCACTTTACGTGTGCTTAATCCTCGATCTCCAACAACGCTTTCATTTCTACGGGGTCGAGAGAAGATGTGGAAAGCCAAAGGTGATTGGCAAACGCGGCCTTGGACTTGAGGAACTGAAGGAGAAAGTCACGTTTGAAAACACCCACCCACCGACCAGCTTCAGCTCTCACAAACTTCTCAACGACTGACACACCTGGACCACCCACGGCAACCACTGGTCACATACACTCGGAATAATCCCGAAACCTGGACTAGATGCCCAGGTTCGCTGACCATGAGACCCCCACTCCTGTCATTGAGCTCGCTACTAAATCCCGACTCCAAACCAGACACCGCTTTCATTGACAAAAATCATTCCCTACCGCAGTCCTCAATCACAGAGCACTGCAGACAGACACAAAACTCTGATTACGGACTTTCAATCCTAGATTTCGACTGGCCTGTAATCACTAACACCAGAATCCTTCAGGACTGACTCCGTCACCCCAATCATAAATACCCCAGTCACCGACTCCCACTTGCTTCCTCTCCCTCTACGGACCCCACGGCTCCACCCCACCCAGACGCCCACGGACACCTCGTTTCCCTCATCCTATTCCACGCAGAGATCCACACACGGTCCCGATTTTCTCCTGATCCCGCCGCTACCTCCTAGAATCCGCACTTCCGTGAATTCTTTTGCTGTTGCGCCTTCGCCCAGCCTCCGCGCCGGACTACGGCGGCCGACGAGGGCCACGCAGCGTTTGTACGGAGCAGGCACGGAGATAATGTCTGCGCCCATCTCGCCACGGATCCCGGGGCCGCCACCTTTCAGGACTCGCCGTACAGAAAGCGAAGTGGCAGTTTTGGTCCAAGTAGCCACGGAAGGCACGGAACGGATAAAAGCCATCCAAAGTACCCCCACTTAAACCCTGCGCCGCAAACTGCACGGATTTTCAGAAACTCGAGCTCACACAAGGGAAACGGGGTAGGATACGTCCGCCTCAGCGGGCTGGGGGGGGAAAGTAATCCAGTTTGCACGAAGATTGGGAAACGACACAGTGGGCACAGCCATCTTAGAAGTTAGGTTTCCGTACAAAAACCAACAAACAGCCAAAGGAAAAGGAGAAAACATATAAGACGAAAGGCAAATACCCCGAGGACGCTTCTGGCTCAGTGTGGACGGTGATAGGATGACTTTGAGGACAGAAAAGAGTCTGGAGAAGCACTCGCGGTAACGGGGACAGCATAACGCCGTCAAAGAAAGTAAAAAAAAAAACAGCAACTGGCAGAAACCTAGCATACATTTGGGGGTGGAACATGGTTACCGCCCAGTGAAGGGGAAGAGAATAGTCATGAGCCAATGGGAAGAGGGAATCCAGGGGTGGGGTGAGGTTTTCACACGTGACAACCCGCTTCCCTTCTGCCAGCAGTGGAGCCAATAACAAGCGCGGAGCTTTCTGAGAACCAAAAGGCCAGAAATTATGTAAGGAGTAAATAAGACAACTCCAGGGACAAAAAAAGTTGTACAAGAAAGGAAAAGTAATCATAGTATACTAGTGGCTGAACTATATGTAGTATTTACATAGTCATCATAATGTAAACACTAAATCTGATCCAACCATAACTAAGATATAACTCTATTGGAAGAATGGGAAAAAGGAAATGCTTGTGTGAAAAGGGTTGTTTCTGTTTGTAGGGAGAGGTGTTTGAAGCATCCTGCAGGACACCAAGGACGGTACCCCCAAATGAAAACTCCATTATCATCACGTGAAAATTAATAAACAGAAACCTCATTTAAAATGGAGTTGGTAGGATGAACTCCACCAAACTTTTGTTGTGAGAAGTACCCTAGGGTAGAAGAAAGTTTTCCTTTAGTTGGTATTCCTTTTGTGCAGCTACTTTGGAAAACAGTCTTACAGTTCCCCGAACAGTAAACATATTTACCATATGATCCAGCAATTTCACTCCAGGTTTATATCCAAGAGAAATAAAAGCACATGTCCACACAGAAACTTGTACACAAATGTTTACAGCAGCATTATTTATAATAGCCAAAAGTGGAAACAACTCAAATATCCATCAACCGATGAAGGGAAAAATAAAACGTGCTGCATCCATACAACAGAATATTATTCAGATATAAAAAGGAATGAAGTACAGAAACATGCTACAACATGGATGAACCTTGAAAGCATTATGCTAAGTGAAAGAAGCCAGTTACAGAGACTAAATATTATATGACTGAACTTATGTCCAGAAAAGGTAAATCTATAGAGACAGAAAGTAAATTAGTGGTTGCTTAGACATGGGGAGAATGGAAGTTGAATTGATAGTTATAAATATCCACAATATGATTAAGAAAAAGATAACCAACCTAAAACAGAAAAAAATAATACCAGTAAATAAACAATTAATAAAATAAAATAATATTTTTAGTCGCCCTTAGGTTGGGCAAAATTAAAAGGTTGATGAGGTGGTTAGAAAATAGGCACTCTGATAGAATTAGCCCTTTTCCCCATATATAAAATGAGGGTAATATTTATGTCCACCATCAATGGCTTTCAGAATATTAAGCAAGATAATGCAATTATTATGCATGAACATGTCCCCTATTCAAAAAAAATGTATATACACTTAATAAAAACTAGCTATTACTTTTCAGTTGGAGTTCTTGGAAGAAGCTGGATAGCAGCCAGTAAAGTGTATTCACTAACAAAACATGTTTGGACAACAATCTGGAAAAATCTATCCAATTAAAAATTGTCCTTCTCTTTGACTCAACAATTCCAATTCTATTAATTTCTTCATGAGAAAAATTATATGAAAACATTTGAATTGACAGAAAGCCTGCACAGAAATTTCTACCAACAATTTCTGGTCTTCCACCAGAAATTTCACCACCTTCCACCTCAGTCAGAAACATAACCCCTCCCTCACTATTAGCTCCACCCTCTCTACAGCCCTCTCACCTTTCACTCTGGAGGTGTCACCAAACTTCCACCACCAATTTTGGCTGAAGAAGATCTTTTCCTTCAACTAAATTTGTTTACTCTGTGCCCACAGTGAGGCATGCTACCTTCCTCTACCACCTTGGCTTCTCCAGACCCTAAACCTTTCTTCAGAAGCATTCCTGCAAGTCGCTCAACCTGCTCCCAACTCCCTAAAGGAAGACTCCTTTTCCCTTACGGATTTGAGCACCTTTTTCAGCATGGCTGCGCCCGCTCTGATGTTATGTAGCTTCGTAAGGTACCAGTTGCAAAGCGGAGGCAGACATATTTGGGCTTGGGGCACCTTACCGGGAAGAGACCTGAATCCGGTGGAGATGGGCTAGAGCATGCGTATTACCCTTTGCGACTCTAGCGATTGACATAACGCAGGCAAGTTTTGTGGGGCAGGAAAAGTGGTTGTACGGCTGGTTTTCCAAGATGGCGGGTCCCACATAAATCAGCTAACAGGGCGCCGCCATACTCTGTCATAGTGTCTTTGTCTAAAAGAGGCGAAAGTTAAACGGCCTCTTGGCCGGTGGAAGGACGCCCCGGAGTGATGGTTGGCAGCCTGCAGATCCGGGTGCTACAGAGGATAAACTTGACCTGCGAGGTGGAACAGCCGGGTTTGTGAATCTGAAGAAAGTAATGGACTGACCCAGCTGGCGCGTGAATCTGAAGAAAGTAATGGACTGACCCAGCTGGCGCGCGAAGGATCTCTTAAGGGGTCTCAGTTTCGCGTTCTGGGAGCAGAATCAGGTTGAGCTTTGCGGAGGTAGGGGAGGGATACGGGGAGTCTGTGGGAGGAGCAAGACCTTGTAGGGCAGGGGATGCATTCTGTTATTGAGGGAGTAGGATGGTAGGAAATGGGGCAGCCCTGGGGATGCTCAGGGTATTGGAGTAGCATGCAGAAAGATTGGGATGGCTTGGGGTTAGCATGTATAGGAGAGGTCAGTGACTGGGCGGTCTTGGAGGCAAATCAGTGTTTGGCATGATTTAGGGTGTGGGCTAGTGATTAGGATGCATTTAGGGGACAAGTCTGTGATTGGGGCATCTTTCGGGGAAAGGTTGATTGGGGGTGAATGACTGGTCAGTGATCGGGTATCCCTTGAAGGAAGTCAGGATTGGGGTGTCTTTGAGGGTGTGTCAGAGCCTGAAAAGGTCTTCTGGGGGAAGATCAGTTCTTAGGACAGCCTTAGAGGGATGTCAGCGATTGGAGCATCCCAGGAGGGTCAGTGACTGGGGAATCCTTGGTACATAAGTCAGTGATTGGGACGTCTTTGGGAAGGTTCACTAATGGGAGTGTCCATGAAGGGAGGTCAGTGATTGAGACATACTTGGTTGGCAGTTCAACGTGTTTGATGTCCTTTGCTTAGTGAGTGTTGTGATGTACTTAGGGGAGGGGGTCGGTGATTGGGGTATCCTTCCCCAAATCACCCCAAGGCCAGTGAATGGGGTGGCCTTGTGGGGAGGTTAGTGCTTGGGGCAGCTTTGTTTCTTGTCTTTGAGGGTCTCCAGTGGTCACTGAGAGTCATGGGGATCTGGGTGTTTGGGTCTGGATAGGCTAATGATAATCTGTTAGAAGTCATGAACTGTGAAGTAGCCATGTGGCCCATATTTTGGGTATGATGTAGTTAGGCATTGTTACCTGAGAGATTTATGGGAGTTGGAGCTTGAGCAGTCTCTGCATTTTAGACGGCTTTGGGGGTTTTAAAGCCCATTGACTTCTCATAGACTACATTAGTGCCTTCTTCAAAACCTGCTTTCCAACATCCTCTGTCCCCTAAATCAAGCGTCTCCAACCCCCGGGGCCGCACAGCAGGAGATGAGCGGCGGGCAAGCAAGCGAAGCTTCATCGGCCGCTCCCCATCGCTCACATTACCGCCTGAACCACACCCCCCTTCCGTGGAAAAATTGTCTTCCAGGAAACCGGTCCCTCGTGCCAAAAAGGTTGGGGACCGCTGCTCTAAATCACCTCCTCCTCTCACTGTCTCCACGGTGCTTTGTAATGACCAAGATCTAAATAAAATCTAAGGTAAAATGCTTTTACGAAAGATGTGGTATCTGGCCCTCTAGTTTTCAAATTTACCGCATATGTCTCTGGGATCCTCCCTTTTTGGACCTTCTGATGCATGAGAGGACATTCCCACATCCAAAATCTTGATAGCCAGAAATACACGTTGTTAAAATTTTGATATGTTTCCTTTTCCAAACTTTTCTGTTACTCATTTTATTACAAAGATGTGATAACACTGCATAAATGGCTTATAACTTGTCTTTTTAAAGAAACTTAACCTTCAAAAAAGAAAGTTAACCTTATACGATAAAATTGTTCCAGATTACTGACTTTTGGTACAAAGTCTTATTGATAGCTGCACAGCATTCTATAATGTGGATCTCGTTGCAATACTGACTGAAGTTATATTAAATCTTTGCAATAATTTGGATAGACATGACTTTAAAATATTCATATAGATCTGGACATTGCTCGTTAAGTTTATTCCTAGATCTTATCTATATTTGCTGCCGTTACAAATAGCTTCTCTTTCCCTTTAACTTTTTTTTTTTTTTTTTAATATTTATTTATTTACTTGGCTGTGCCAGGTCTTAGCTGCGGCGTGCGGGATCTTCATTTTGGCATGCGGGATCTTTTTAAGTTGCGGCATGCAGGCTCTTAGTTGCAGCATGCAGGATCTAGTTCCCTCACCAGAGATTGAACCCGGTCCCCCTGCATTGGGAGCGCGGAGTCTTAACCGCTGGATCACCAGGTTTCTTGAACTTTGAATTACTTTTATTTTATAGGTATAAAAGTAGATGATTAAAAAAATTTTTTTTTCATTTCCTTACTGAACTCTTATTATTACTAATGTGTTTAAAGTGATTCTTGCAGGTTTTCCAGGTAAGCAGTCAGCTGCAGTTAAGTTTAACTCCAAGAAAAGAATAGGGACTTTGGATTTCGGCAGACCTAGGTTTTTCTCCATATTCTGCCACTTACTATGTGAACTTGGGCATTTCTCAACCTGTGATTCTTTTCCCATTTGTTTAAAAAAAATCTCAGTACTAACTACTCATATAGTTAGAGTACCTAGCACATAGTAAGTACCCAAGACACGTTTTAGCAAGCAGTATTCCAGTATATATATACAATTTCTCTGGATTTTAGGCTTTTAAATTTTTCTTCTTTTTTTAAATTTCTTTATATAATGGTCCTTCTCTAAATGTAGATCTAGTTTTGAATAATTTTAGCACAATTACATAATTTAATGAAGATAGCTTTGTTGTTGATGTTTCTTTATTATAAAATAGTTGTTTGTTGTAAAATAAACCATCAAGTAATACATGTTACTTTTTTTCTTTATCACATTAACCAACCACCTGAAGAAAACATAATTAAATTTTAGATTTTTATATGTGTGTATATCTAAAATACATACACACATACAAACAAGGACGCACACAACTCAGAAAAATATTATGCTCCCAGTTATAGTTTATTACAGCAGTGAATTTCTGTAATCCCCCAGGTCTTGGCTTCCTGGGATGAAGTAGTTCCAATGAAGGAAGGAACTGAAGGTACCAAGATCAACATTACATCCTTTGCCAGAGACTCTGTACTGGAGCTTCAGGGAAGAAACCAAAATCAACAATAGAGCAGGTATTAGAGTTGCTGGTTGTTCCTAAGGGCTCCAGAAAATGTCCAAGTCCCAGGTGAGTTGGGTTTTTTTGTATATTTATTTTCCATTTGGCTTTCTAGTGGATTTTAGGAGGTTAAATACATATATTTAAAATACATGTTTATTCAATATTTACGAAGACTACACTATACCAGATCAGCATGAAAAGATAAGTGTCAGAATTCAGGAAAAAGGACTGAGACAAAAGATCAACTTCACAGTAAGGACACAATGAGAATATGTAAGTCGTATGTTTATACAAATTGTTTAAAGTTAACACACAGATTATAGCCTGTGAGCTCTAAATATTTAATAAAATTAAGCACAAACTTGTCTCTAGTATCCCCTGTTCCAGTTATCTATTGCTGCCTAACAAGCCACCCCAAAGTCTATTGGTAAACGTTTATTTTGATCATCCTCATGGATTCAGTGGGTCAGAAAGTGAGACAGGACCCTATGGTGATGGCTTTATGTTTTTGGGTTACAAAGACCATCCTCAGGTTCAGTGATTTACAAGAAGAACTCAACAGTACTCAGCAATGCAGTTATAATCACAGTTATGGATTATTACAACAAAAGGATACAGATTAAAATCAGCAAAAGAGGAAGATGCACAAGGCCAGGTCCAGGAGACACCAGGCAGAAGCTTCCAGTTGTTCCCTCTCAGATGGAGTCATGTGGACATTGTTTTATTTTCCCAGCAATGATTTGTAACAACACATATTGGGTATTGCTAATTAGTGTCTAGGCTTTTTATATGAGGTTGATTACATAGGCAATGGCTGACCTTAGTGTCCAGCCCTTTCAGAAGTCAAGTTGCTACAGTGTGGCCCAAGGCCTCCACCATAAATCACATTGATAGCAATAGACTATTTGGTGTGGCCCAATGCTCCTGTGTAAACAAAGATATTTCAAGGGCTTAGAGGTTACTTCCCATAAACTGGCAAGAGCCAGACCTTTCTTTGGCATGTGCAGGATATGGACAATACAGACTTTCTGTGCTAATCCTTTACTGTACAGCTTGTCTTACACACCATGGTGTCTGGAACTTCAGCTGGGAAGACTCAAATAGTTGGAGACTGGAATCATCTGGAGGCTTCTTCATTCCCATGTCTGTTTTCCAGGATCACTTGACTCAAAAGCTAGGCTTAGCTGAGGTTTTTGACCAGAGCACTTATGCATGGCCTCTCCATGTAGCTTGGACTTCTCACAGTATGATGCTGTATCCTGCGAGAAACAGACTGAAGCTACACTGCCTTTTCTGCCTTACCCTTGGAAGTTAGCATTTTCATTTTGTTACACTCTACTGGTTAAGAGCAAGTCACTAAGACCAGCTAGATTCAAGGGGAAGGGAATAGGGTCCACCTCTTGATGGGGAGTGGAAGAAGGTTTGCAGAAGGTTTTTTGGAATGGGAGATAAACTATTGTGGTCTTCTTTGGGAAATATAATTTACCACATGGTCATAATGAAAAAATTGTTGGTGATTTTTTTGCTTTAAGGAGAAATCTCTTCTAGGAAAGTGAAATAGTTCATGTCCCTTAAGTAGGAAGAAATTTCTTTGATGGGTTATTATTTTGATAATATGGTGCTCAGTGCCTTCAGTGCAAGCCACTGATAAAGTGGTAAGTTTCGTTTGGTTATTTCTCAGCAGTCCTCAGATAAGCCAGTGGTGTCCTGCCAAAGCCAAAATCAGAGTGATCAGAGTGCTTCAGGGTTTCAAAACAGAGTAGCCCAAATCCATGGCCTCCTGGTGGCCTGGGGTGAAACCTAGATTATCAAGAAGAATGGATGGATTCTGTGACTATCAAATGGTGTTCCACTAACAGTCCTCAAAATTCAGTTTTTTATTTAAATCAGTGGTTCCCATCTGGGGATAATTTTGTCCCCCCAGGGCACATTTGAGAATATCTGGAGACATTTTTGATTGTCATGACTGCGGAGGGATATTAATGGGATCTAGTAGATAGAGGCCAGGGACACTGCTAAACATCCTACAATGCACAAATCCTCCAAAAAAAAAAAAAGTCTCCATAACAGAGAATTATCCAACCCCTAAATGTCAATACTGCCAAGGTTAAGAAATCCCAGTCTATATTAATTAACAAACAGTTCCAAGTTACCTTTACTAGCAAAGTCTTAGAATATTCCCATCATGATCTCTTCACACCCAAAAATGTAGTGTAAACTCTCAGTTCATAGTTAATACTTAACCTCTTTCTTTTAAAAATATCCAATATTAGTGAAGCTTAAAATATTCTCAGTGTCAAAGTTTCAAATAGTCTAGAAGTTTGTAGAGCTAAACCCTTATGTCTTCCATCAGTCCTTTTTCTCTACCACCAACATAAATAATCCAAAAACGTTTATGTGTATTATTCTGACTACCCATGTCACTAGTTACATATGTAAATGTGAATTCATATGAATTTGAGTTGAGGTCCCTGGCTCACCCTCAAGCTCAATGATTCTCTAGAAGAACTCACTGGACTCAAGAAAGCAGTTATACTCACAGTTATGGATTATTAAAGTGAAAAGATGCAAATTAAAATCAGCAAAGGCAAAAGATACACAGAGGCAGGAGCTTCCAGGTTTGGAATTTTTAAAAAACGATACAAATGAACTTACTTACAAAACAGAAAGACTCACAGACATAGAAAACAAATTTAGTGTTACCAAAGGGGAAAAGGCGGGGGGCAGGGATAAATTAGGAGTTTGGGGTTAAAATATACACACTACTATATAGAAAATAGATAACCAACAAGGACCTACTGTATACCACAGAGAACTATATTCAATATCTTGTAATAACCTATAATGGAAAAGAATCTAAAAAAGAATATATATATGTATATATGTACACACATACATATATATATTTTTTGTTTTGTTTTGTTTTGTTTTGTTTTTTGCTGTACACGGGCCTCTCACTGTTGTGGCCTCTCCCGTTGTGGAGCACAGGCTCTGGACGTGCAGGCTCAGCGGCCATGGCTTACGGGCCCAGCTGCTCCGCGGCATGTGGGATCTTCCCGGACCGGGACACGAACCCATATCCCCTGCATCGGCAGGCGGACTCTCAACCACTGCGCCACCAGGGAAGCCCTACATATATATTTTTAACTGACTTACTTTGCTGTACACCTGAAACTGACACAACACTGTAAATCAACTATATATCAAAACACAAAAAACAAAGAACACTGATATAGTGTAGCCCAAGACCTCAGGAATATAAAAACATTCATCAGGCTGGATATTTCAGGGGTTCAAAGTTATCTCCCAGGAGCAAATCAAGGACAGGTCTTTCTTTGGAATGTACAGGGTTTGGGCAACCCAGGTCTGCTTTACTACAGAGTACCTAAATATACACATTGTCATAATTAATGTTAGAGTTTATATACTTTCTTTTAACATATATACACTTAACCACTTATTTGGAAGTCTCTCCATTATCAGTGTATAACTAACAAATAATAATAAGTGAAAATGTTTTGAGTACACCACCTGCTCTAAATTCAGTCATTTAATTTCACAACTGAGGAGGAAACGTATTTTCAGTGTTTTGAATGCTCATGGTTTCACTGTGCTATCATTCATATTACTTCTTTCTGGAATGCCATGCCACCTCTTCCCTCTGCAATTCACCATAAAACATAGACTTGATCTCATAAGAATTAGTTCCAGATTCACCTCTGTGAAGTTTACCCTTTACAATTTTTCTCCTCCCCATTGATGCCCACAGGGTATATATTTATATATACTTACTTGACATGTATAAATCTATTGTTCTCTTGTGCACTTACATCTCTCTCTTTGCAAGCTAGTGTGTTCCTTCAGGGTAGAAGTGAGACTTATTTACAAAGGAATGCTTGATATATTGTCTGACATATAGGTGCATACACACAGGTTGTGTGGGTTCCTAGATTAAAGGACTTAAGCATGTTCTCTATTCTACTCCTTTTTTTGTGAATGGATGAACATGTGAGTCAGTGAATGATTGGATGGAAGCACAAAGATAGGATATTTTAAGTAAAAAAAATTGGTTTTCCTACAAAGTATAATGCAAAACTAGTTACATAGAAAGAAGTCAAATAGCTTACCATGGGAAAAGTAATAAGAATTTCCTATTTATCTTCCTAGTATGAACCAATGATGATCCCTTTAGGATGAATAGGAATGTTCTATTACAGGGCTCACTATCATTCAAGGATGTGGCTGTGGTTTTCACCTGGGAGGAGTGGCAGCTACTGGACCGTGTTCAGAAAAACCTGTATCAAGATGTGATGTTGGAAAATTATATCAACTTGGTATCAGTGGGTAAGAAGAGCGTTCCCTGGGTAATATAGGCAATGGATTGCCTTTTCTTTCTCAGGGATGAAAGGGGTGGAGGCTTACAACTGCCTTACTTTTTTAGAATTGAGTTTCATACATCATAGATTTCAGTACCCTGTGGCCTCTAACAGTATTTTTCTCTCACTTCCAAAGCAAAAGTCCTTTACTTGGCTGAGGTGCAATTTGTTCAGCCCTTTAAATGTAACCTTTTCTAGTTTACAGAGGGCTTGTATTTGGGTCCATGGGTCCTCTGTAATTCCCCTTGAGTAGGGTATCAAGTTACCAAAACAGATGCATTCTACCGGTTGGAACAAGAAACACCATGGATAATAGAGGAAGAAAGCCAGAGTCAGATTCACCCAGGTGAGTGAAAAAATAGCTCTGTGGGATAAAAGGAAGTTAAAATCCTAGTTGGCCAGAAAGAGGGATGTACCTCTGAAATGTCTGGAGAAATATTGAAATTTTTAAGCTTTGAATGTGACTCAGAACAGCTGGCGTGAGCTCCCATATACATTAATATTGACTCCACTTTTTTTTTTTTTTTTTTTTTTGGCTGCACTGTGCAGCTTACGGGATCTTGGTTCCCTGACCAGAGATCAAACCCAGGCCCTCGGCAGTGAAAACGCCATGACTCCATTTTCTAATCTCTCTGTATTAGGTCTCTTTTGCCTGGTTTTAAAAAGCACATTTCCTTATTTTAGATATTTTGATCAGATCCCTCTCTAGTCCATCTTGGAACTTGCTCTCCTAAATAATCTTTCTCCTTGTTATCCTCAGTTTACCTGCCTTCTCCTTGTCTCTACCTCCCTAATCCATGGTTATAGCTCTCTTTTCTTATACACTCAAGCATTCATAAATTCTCCCTTCTTCCCATTCTGTGTATCTCTCATGCCTCTTGTAGTTTATTCCTTCTTTGTTTTTTCTTTTTCATTTTCTTTATCTCCTTTCACTTATAAATGTCACAGACTTTAGGTATATACCCACAGTCTCCTTTCCTCTTCTCTCTTTGGCCTTTGCTGAGATTCTACTCCTTCTATTACATGGTCATTATGGATTCATTGGTCTGTTTCTAGAAGACACATGGCAAGTTGATAATCATAGAGACTGGCACAAAGGAAGCCATGGCAACCTGGAAACTATGGAGAGTTACCACAAAGATAATGCATTTGGAAAAATATCTTCTCTGAGCTTAAACCTTGATATCTCCTTAGCACAAAGATCTCATACACTTGACATACTTGGGAAACATCTGAAACCTAATCTAGAGTGTATTACTCAGAATAAAAGCTATGCAAGAAATGAAGTTGAATTTATTCAATATGGCAAATTATTTCTTTACACTAAGCATGAGAAAATTCATACTGGACAAAAATACAATGAATATAATCAACATATGAAAGTTTTCAGCCATAAGTCACAGCTTATTAAATACTGGAAAACTCAAACAGCAAAGAAACACTATAACTGCAGTGACTGTGGGAAAGCCTTTTCTCAGAAGTCGGACCTCATTAAGCATCAAAGAACACACACAGGAGAGAAATCCTTTGGATGCAGTAGATGTCAGAAAGCCTTCAGGCGGAAGTCCCATCTCATTTTACACCAGAGAACCCATACAGGAGAGAAACCCTATGAGTGCAACAAATGCGGGAAAGCCTTTACTGATAAGTCATGCCTTAATAAACATCAGAGAACTCACACAAGAGAGAAATGGTTTGAGTGTCATGTATGTCAGAAAGGCTTCAGCGATAAGTCACAACTCACTTTACATCAAAGAACTCACACAGAAGAGAAACCCTACAGATGTGAAGAATGTCAGAAAAGCTTCAGCAATAAGTCACAGCTCATTATTCATCAGCGATCTCACACAGGAGAGAAACCTTACGGTTGCAGTGAGTGTGGGAAAACATTTCCCCTTAAGTTTAGCCTCATTTTACATCAAAAAACACATACAGGGGAAAAACCTTATGGATGCAGTGAATGTGGGAAAGCCTTCATCCAGAGATCTGAGCTCATTAGACATCAGAGAACTCACACAGGAGAGAAACCATATAATTGCAGTGACTGTGGAAAAGGCTTTAGTGTAAAGTCACTCCTCAATACTCACTTGAGAACTCACACAGGAGAGAAGCCCTACGGATGCAGTGAATGTGGAAAAACATTCTCCATCAAATTTAGTCTCATCCTACACCAAAGAACTCATACAGGTGAGAAACCCTATGAATGCAGTCAGTGTCAGAAAGCTTTCACCCAAAAGTCACATCTCACTATTCATCAGAGGTCTCACACCGGAGAGAAACCTTATGAGTGCAGTGAATGCCACAAAGCTTTCAGCCGGAAGTCATATCTCCTTATTCATCAGAGAATTCACTCAGGAGAGAAACTTTATGAATGCCATGAATGTGGGAAAGCTTTCTGTCACAAGTTTAGCCTCATCATTCATAAGAGAATCCATACAGGAGAGAAACCCTATGGATGCAGTGAATGTGGGAAAACTTTCCCTATCAAGTTTAGCCTCGTTTTACATCAGAAAACACATACAGGAGAAAAACTTCACGAATGCAGCGAATGTCAGAAATCTTTTGCCCAGAGGTCACATCTTATTATACATCAAAGAACTCACACGGGTGAGAAACCTTATGGATGCAGTGAGTGTTGGAAAACTTTCTCCCACAAGTTCAGCCTCATTTTACATCAGAAAACTCATAGAGAGAAATTGTGAAGAAATATCCAAACGATATCCAGAAGTTGTCATTGAAAGGAAATAGCTCCTTACACTCCAGAGTTTACATAGGAGTGAAACCTTAAGACTGCAGCAGATGTGGACCTGTTTTCTTTTCAGAATCACAACTTATTACTTATCAGAGAACGGTACTGCATAGAATGCCAGACAGGAGGAAATACCTTTCCCGATGAATGTCAATTGAATGTAGCCCAGAGAGAATAAATAGGAACTTCTGCATATGTTTTAATCGTGGGGATGTTGTTGCTATGAAATTCAGCTACATTGGTATCAGAGAATTGACATTCAGGGGGAAAGTCTATGCTTTAAAGAATCTTGGAATCATGCTTTCATGGGTATCATTTTATGAGGGAATTAATTTTCTGTAACTGTGACATAATAAACAGCACTATAGAAAGTATTAAATATGTAAATAAATACAGTAGTCAGAAAACAAAGCAAAAGTTATATCAGAACCATGTGAGAATATGTGTTTTGTACCTATTTTTATTATAAAATGATTGTTTGTATTTGGGAATTGCGTGTGTTAGCCTAACAGTTGTGACTTCCTAGTCCATGTGCTTAAATGTCATAAAACTTTACCATAGAATATCTGCACTGAGTCTTTGTATCATTACAATGCTACATAAATTGTAACTGAACTACATGGTTCATTATTTTAGTAAAAACTCTTAAGGGCTTCCCTGGTGGTGCAGTGGTTAAGAATCCACCTGCCAATGCAAGGGACATGGGTTCAAGCCCTGGGCCGGGAAGATCCCACATGCCGTGGAGCAACTAAGCCTGTGCGCCACAACTCCTGAGCCTGAGCTCTAGAGCCCACAAGCCAGAACTACTGAGCCCATGTGCCACAACTACTGAAGCCTGCACACCTAGAGCCCGTGCTCCGCAACAAGAGAACCACTGTAATGAGAAGCCTGCGCACCTCAACGGCCCCTGCTCGCCCCAACTAGAGAAAGCCTGCATGCAGCAACAAAGCCCCAACTCAGCCAAAAAAAAAAATCTTAACACTGAATATCTCATCTCCTCTACCATGCCCCACTGTATGCTGGTATTAGTAAGTGGGCCTGGAAATTTTTGAGTCTCTCTTGAGTGAAACTTTCTTTCATCGATTCTAAGATGCAAAATTTTTCCCACGTATTCATAACTCTGAAGTTAAAATACAACATACAGTTGATGGCTTGACATATTTATTTATTGGAAGTTAACAACATTTTTAATTTTACTGCTGCTTTTTCTATTATAAACTACATCAAGGTGTGAATGGGGCTGAGGCCGCAACATTAATTTTTTTTTTTTTTACAATTACATTATTTTATTTAGGTTTCTTTAAGGAATTTTTGTATATTTTACACATCTTAAATTTTATAGCATATATATAGGAACATATTTATAGAAATATATAGAAATAGAAAATACTTAACCTGGAGGGACAATTCTGAAACACCAGATCCTAAATGATACAAGGCCATTTGTGGACAAAAGTCTCACCTGCTATTTTTCTGGTTACCAATTCTGATGTGTTGCAGAGTGGGAGGAGGTTTCCCTATGCCACTAAGAAATTCTTAGACCCTGGCTGTCCTACAATTCAAATCAATTCTGACCTATCTACCCAGAGATAGCATAAGATTCCATAGGTTAAGGGTTCAGTCTTATATGGCTGTCTTCCTCTCCACTTCAGAGGATAGCAAGTCCAGATTGTCCCCTGTGCTCCTCACCAACAGGCTACAAATTGGAGGTTCCGATGACTCCCTCCACAGATTCAATAATTTGCTAGAGAGGCTCACAGAACCCACAGAAACATTTTACTTACTGGATTACTGGTCTATTATAAAAGGGTATAACTCAGGAACAGCCAGATACAAGAGAGGCATAGGACAAAGTATGGGGAAAGGGTGCAGAGCTTCCATGCTCTGCCTAAAATGTGACTCTTCCTGAACCTCCACATGATCACCAAACCAGAAGCTCTCCAAATCCCATTCATTTGGAGGCTTTGTTACATAGGCATGATTGATTAAATCATTGGCCATTGGCTATTTTTTTTTTACAGTGTGATATCAACATGTTTATCTGAAAAATAAATAAGTGTACATATAATATATAAATTCATACAATCTGAGTAACTACTGCAGAATATTTTTGTCATTGTAGTTGAACCATCAGAAGATACTGCTATGAAAAACTTTAACTCCAAACCATATTTTTGACAGTGTAATTATCCACAGTTTTGTACATTTTAGAGTTCACTATGTTTGATGGCAACTAAGCTGAAAAAATATGCTAATTTTTCCTTCTTATCACCATCATGTGCAAATTACACATATTCTTGATGAACGCAAGTGTTACTAAATTCTGCATGTAAATGATATTTAAGTTTTGATGGTTTCACTGATTCTTTTGCCAGTATACCTCCACAAATTACATACCGCATACCCAGAACCCACAAAATTCAAAATTTCTAGAATCCAATAAAGATTACCAAGCCTACAAAAAACAGGAAACTATGATCTAAACTGAGGAGAAAAATCTATCAGAGTTGACACAAATGTTAGCATTAGTAGACAAGGACATTAAAAGAGTTATAACTGTAATCCATAAATTTTAAAAGTTAAGTAGAAACATAGAAGATATTTTTAAAAACCCAAACTGAATTTCTTTTTTTTTCTCCACAACTCACACACACACACACACTGTATTTTATTTTTACAAGAGATAAATAAACTGACACCAAGCATTGTAAATGGATGACCACAACAAAAGCAACAATGATTGCAATTACCAAACACGTAACACACTCATACTATGTCATAATATTGACATTCAGTCCAGTAATCCTCCACTGTAACAGCCCCTCTACTTTGCAGTGAAAATTGATTTGTATATTTTTTCCCTCTGAGTTTTTGTGGGATTTTTTTTTTATTCAAACAGAAAGTCACGAAAATTATAATCACCTTCATCAGTTCACTCAGTCCCATGTAATTAATTATTTTTCATCTTGATCTTTTGTTAGCATTTTTATGAATTCATCGGTTTTCCATTAGAGTTCTGAAAATGCTTATTCATTCAGTTCAGCAGTATAGTCAGTTACCAGAAACCTGTACTTGTCAGAGTCTTTTCCATGAATTCCTTGAAGATGAAACCCCTTTATAGGAACATTTTTGTGAAAGCATCAGAGTACACCCAGAACTGTTTGTAAATGACAAAAGACTTAAAAATGACCATGGTTAAAGATTTGATGAAGGACTTCCCTGGTGGCGCAGTGGTTAAGAGTCCACCTGACGATGCAGGGGATGCGGGTTCCTGCCCCAGTCCAGGAAGATCCCACATGCCGCGGAGTGGCTGGGCCCGTGAGCCATGGCCACTGAGCCTGCGCGTCCTCCACAATGGGAGAGGCCACAACAGTGAGAGGCCCGCGTACCACAAAAAAAAAAAAAAAAAAAAAAGATTTGATGAAAGTTCATGATCATGCAACTGACAAGGAAATTTAGTTATTTCTGAGATATACATTTTAAAGTAATAACTAGAATTGTGACTTATAACATTATACCAGAACATATAAGATTTTTAGAAATTTCATGTAATGTCTGAAACATTTATATTAACATATTTCCACACAAATAACCCAAAGAAAGTTTAGTGTTAGTTGTTTTTCTTTTTTGTTTGTTTGTTATTTTATACTGCAGATTCTTATTAGTCATCAATTTTATACACATCAGTACATACATGGGCTTGACATATTTAAATGGAGAACTTGAACTTGGTACATAAAATAGTAGTGTATCATACAACCGAAGTTATCTTAGATTGGATGAAATACAGCAGAAGTCAACATCTTTATAATTTTCTTTCTTCTAAACCAACCACATATTTAGGGTTTGAAGATGATGACTGTTCACAGGTTTTATACCCCATTTGAGTTCTAAACAGTTTGAGCGAAAGTCCCCGGTATCAGAAGATAAAATTAAATATTAGCTTGAGTCCTGGTATTGCTTGATTGGATAATGTGTTTTGTTCCTATGGTCAAATAAAATGGTCTCCTATTTCCCCCATATTGCACAAGATGTACTTCCTTTTGAAAGAGCATAAGCCAAACTTTAGATATGTTTTTATTAATCCCTTTCTAGAATGTAACTGCAAAGTCTCAAATTCTTTTCTGAAATGGGGATTAAACTCAAGTTACAATGAGCTTGACTTTAACTTTACAAGATTTGGTTTCCTTTTCAAGCATAACATTTTACTTTAAAATAAAACACAGACATCAACAACAGTAAGAGCAAGCTGCAGACTGGAAGCATATATCGCAACACTTAACTGAAAAAGACGAAAACTTAGACTGTAAAAAGAGCTCTTATGAATCTGGGGATGCAGAAGAATTAGGATCACTAAGACAAAGTCTCAACATCCAGTTTGACAAGGGTTAAGTTGTAATCCACTGCAGTTGCTGATCAACAGTGCACTCTGAGAGGAATTTAAATAGAAAACAGAATGAGGCACTCTGGGCTTAGAATGTACATGAATAGGCAAGCCCCATAGGTAGTTAGATGAATATCTCAGGAAGAATTTTAATGACACTGGATTCTCACATCTTCCCATACAGAGATAAGCCCTAAAAAGATTAACTTGAGACATGTTTTTCTTTATGATTAGCAATAAATCTTTTACCAAGATGTATGCCTGACTGCATGTAGTTCCTAGCCAAAACTCATATATAGAAGGGCTTCTCCCCTACCTCTTCAGAGCGATTTCCTCAGAGCTAATGTCACCACAAAACTGGGTTCATCTCTTGGTGACTGCCGAGCCAACAGGCACAACCAAGCCAAAGATGGGGAGAAGGAAGGATTTATTACTTGTAGTAAGTAAGAAGAACACCATGGATATTTTCCAAAGCAGTGTCTCCCCGGAACAGCAAAACTGGGGAAGTTCTAAGCTAAGGGTACATGCATATTCAAGAAGGGGCTTGAGCAGAGGAGAATTCAGCATAAAACTGGGGCAAAAGTTGACAGTGTCCAAACTTTAGTTGACTGAAGTCAGAAGAGTCAAGATCATCATTCTCTCCTCTACCTAAGTGAGGGCCTTAGTTCCTGTGCAACTCAAAGATACATTATTATGTATATCCCTTGAGGAGGAACTAGAACTCTGCTTTATCACTGCACTATTGTTTGACTGCCTTTCCTCTGTTCCAGCATTCCTTTGTTCCCTTAAGATCATTGATTATTGAGACCTGTTCAAGGGCAAGAATTATGGCTAGGCTTAGATGACAAAATGGCTTAGGCCAAAATGGGTCCTCTCATGTCAAGAAAGCCATTCCTGGTTCTCTGTCTCCAAGGACCCCCTAACCTATATGCTATACGAACTGAGTGGCTGCCTCCCAGGCTATGATCCTCAGTAAGAACCTGAATAAAACTTACAACTCACAACTCTTATGTTGTGTGTCTTTAAGTCAACAAATCAATAAGAAAATGACAACAGAGTAAAAATCAATAGGCAAATATCCATGGAAGAGGTGATTCTGAATAGCCAATTAACAGGAAAAGACACTAAACTTCACTTTTAACTGGAAGCAGGCCAATTTGTGGAGGGTCAGTTCTCA